TAGTGCCTTTGTGGCATGGCGCAGTCTTTGTAACCACGCCCACCCTGTGGTGGTGCGGGCCACATATTTTGTCACCGTGTGCCCCGTCAGGTGTCGGAGCCCCCTTGCCACAGTTGGAGCTGGTGCCATGTACTCGGCCATTTCGGGCCACGTATAGACAAGCCCACGCAGTGAGCGACCATCTTGAATGAGGCGGTTGGCTCAAGGCAGCCACGTCACCAGAAGTGGTTGGATACCACTCCCCTGTTGTAATCTTCCACCGTCAGGTTAGGAACCTGCAAGGATTCCACCAGTGCGCTGTCGTGAATGTGGCAGTGTGGGGTGGTGAAGTTTCTGATGAAGCGGATCGTTGGCTTTGCTTCATCTTGGGCCCTTGGGCTCAGCGGCTTCGTCTTCTTGGCGCTCATGTAGCACTCGGCAAGCAACCTCCGTGTAGCAGCTTTGGTGATTCAGTCGTTCAGGCTGACCAGTTGCTCCTTGCAACCGGGTTGGCCGCGCGCTTGTGAGGGGCGGCTTTGTGCCACTTTCAATTTTGAAGTGCTCCAATCAACCACATGACAGATCGTGTCTGTTGGAGTGGTGAGCGCGCCAAGGTAACCTCCATATGTGAGGTTGCATTTCCTCTCACACCGCAATGTGCATCAAACATTGCTGCCAAGCGGGCCGTCCAAGGTCTTGACATTCAGCGGCTCGTAGTTCAAGTGACTTTGTAAACTGCAGAAGCTGATTTACGCGCATGTCACGCGAAGCTTGTTGGTCTCCAATTGCCCAGTCTGTCCGCGATCAGTCAGTTAATTTTCAGGCTGTCATCATTGACAGCTGCTCATCGTTGGCACAGTTTTCTGCTAGATGTAGGGCTCTCACCCCGAAGCTTTCCTGAGCTCCTAAATCCTAAAGTCACGCAAAAAAAACATGTCTGCAAGCTTAAGGCGTTGCCCGTCACAGTAAGTTTCTAAATTGCGGGCTCCGCGGGCTGTTGTGTGGAGAGGGCGACCGTAGTCTCACTGAGCAGGTTGTTCTTCAGAGCTCATTTGCACGCTTTGTTGGTGAAGCGGGGTTGTACTCAATATGCCTGCTTTGAAGTCAGGTCGAAGTAGCGGTTGTTGGTTCATGCTTGTGAGTGCCTGGACCCGGCCATGGCCCACATATTGGTGAAATCGATCGGTGCTGAATGACGCGTGTAATGGTGTGTGATGGTTGGGAGAACTTCCTGTTGAAGGCCTCCACTCCATATAGTTCTTGTCAATGAGACGAGTCTCTCGTACTCGGGGAAAGCAGTGACACGAAGAAAAAAACCGTTCTTAGGTCGATTTCTCTTTAGTAACTTTAGTAGGTCTTCTTAAAGTATCTGGTCTGATTTCCATGGGGTCAGCAATCAGGGGTCCTAAGCAACTACTGTGGGGGTCTTGAGCTTTCGAAGCTGCCAAGTTCTCAGTCTTTAGAATCTTTAGAAGCAATCAGGGAGTTTTTCACCTTGTTGGTCTCATCGGCCATCGTCCAACCTTCATGACCCCTTCCAAAGAATGTCCGTCCGATCTTGTCTATAATAATACAGCTGAGAGGCGTTGTGCAGTCGGTGTGCGCGTGCGCACCATATTGCAATAAGGCAAAGTTGAAGCCTGAACTGCAACCGCTGGGAAAATATTTGGACATCTTGATGGTCATGGAAGCGGCGGCGGCG